GATCCACAAAGAGAGAGCTTGCTCGCAGGTAACGGTCAGAGTAAAAGGAAACGGCACATACACCTTAATTTTTAGCCAGCCCCTTAATAAAGGATAGAACAGAGATTTTATTCTTAAAATTCGAAATGAAGTGCTCAGTGGAGTTTAAATGAGGTGGTCTATTAATAATTCATTTGACTCTACAGAGTAAATTCTAAGTTTTATCCTTTCTGCTCAGAATATCAAAGGTATATCAAGAGAATTAAAGCTAGAGTAGATACTTGTTCACGAAGAGTTAAAAAAACTGAGATTACAACAGTCCCATTGAAACCCTTTTTAGGGAAGGCTCGGCTCTGGTAGTGCTGCATAAAGTAAGCCACAAACTTATGCTGACTTTTTGAAATAGCGATGTAGTTGATGTTCCATCACGTCCTTTTCACAAACTTCTCAACGCTAAATACTCTCACAACAAGATTTTCAATATTTAAGTTTAAAAATCCAAGCACAAAGAGCAAGCTTTTAATTCTGTTAACCAATCGCCCACATTTATCAACATAACTTGTTATGCCGGAAGTCAATCAAGTGTGCATTCCGGAATGATTTAAAACTCCAGAATATAAATAAATTTTAAATTATTCCGGAAAATTTCTTAAGCAAGAAAACGATTTTCCTATTTTTCTAGTTGTTATCAAAATAATTAGCCGCGTTTCGTTTGTTATGAACAAAGATGTCTCTTGATTTACGTTAAGTTACAATAACGACGTCAACAACCCAACATTGTTGACAAAGGACTTTTTCCCTGTAGATCACAGGTAGCCCAAGCTCAGTATCAATAAAAAATTGATACGAGTGGTATCATACTGCGTAATCCTAAATATGGCCGTGAACATAAAGGAATTTGTATGGGAACTCGGGTAATAGACTCAAGAAGACAAAGTACTCGCTGGAATTTTCCATAAAAAAACGCTTTACCTTATTTGTTTGGTGTTTTTTGCTTTCGTGTGGTTACGATTTCTTTCAACCCCTTTTTTCCGCACCAGTAAGAAATCACTAATAAGCATCGGATCGGGAAAATAACCTCACAGGCAGAAAGAAAACACCAAACCAAGAAAAGTGCAGCGTTCCAGTGAGTATTTATCTTTTTGAATCTATTACCCGAATTTCAATAATTACCGCTTGGGTTGTTCATTCTACATACTGCGAATCTTTATCCGCGGTTCAAAATACGATTCATTTTATATCATGTTACAACAACAACTTTATTGCACGCGAAACACTTTACAAGGATTAAATTAAAGTAGAATAGAAAGGAAAAAGGAAATATTTCACGCAACCCGCAGTTAGCTTAAGCTAATCGAGGTGGGACTGGTGAAGTGGACAAGAAAGAAAATAAAAAAAGCTAGACCGGTAATAATAATTTTAAGAAGGGAACAAAATTTGAAGTTTCTGCACAAAGAAAATTAGTAATAATATTTGTTAAGAATAGAAAAATATATTCAATATATTGTATCTATTTTGAAGAGCTTGAGGATTTTACTTAGAACTTAAGCGTCGAGTTCAAAATAGTATCCCTTATCCAAATGAGAGTATGGAAAAGAAATCCTGGAATTTTAAATTTTCTATGAGAAGTTGATCTCTCCAATCAGAAGGAATTTAAAATAGGTTCGATACTTTTGCTCCAGTTCTCGAAAATAAGCGTTTAAGAATTTCCAAGTCAGTTTCTTTCTGAGAAAGTAATTACCTTTGGTAGCATTATATGCATACCTAGTATGAGATAGGTAGATAGTATTAGATAGATGGCCTGTAAGATGACTCGAAATGGTAATGCCACATTAACTCAATGTTTCAAAATTTTCTGTCTTCAAGTAAATTAGGCCATGGACCTCAATTTGCGTACTTCAAAAGTGAGGGGATGGTCTATGTCTAAGAGCTTTAGATGTAGACCCATAAAACTTTGCCAGCTGCACACATTTTTAGTTTGTACCAATTTCGTGAATTAAAATTTTGCAAATTAGGTCATGAACCTCCATCGACTGAAAAAAACTTGTTCTTGAAACGGCAACACTTTTTCGTGTGTCCCCAATTATTTTACCGGTTGCATAATGTTAAGGCCGTTTAATATAGCACTTCTGCGCTTGGCCTTGTGTAGATATTTAAAAGCAAAGGCGTTACGATCCGATAAAATTACCTTGGGGGACTGGGTCTAGTGGAAAAAACTGTTTATTTTCTAAAACAGTAAAAAAAAAAAAAAAAAATGCCGGGCACAGTTTTGTAGATGCTTGCTTTACACATTGTCCTAAACCAGTCCAGTTTAATAACTCACAACAAAAAGGGCTGCCTCTTTTGCTTAAAGACTTTTTATTATGTTCTGGCCATGAGGAGTCACGTGAAAACACTTGCATAATTGAAAAATACCAAATTGACAGAAACCACTCATGTATGTATCTGGCAAAGTCACATCTTTCTAATGCTTAAGTGTCATTATCTGAGAAAGTGTTCCAGGGGCCAAAAGTTGTGGTTAAACGATTTGACTGAAACTTGGTACAGAAGTTGGATGTGAAGAGATATTTCAAAAGCCACTTTGGCTCAGTTACTTGACTTTTAGTTTTGGAGTTACAAGGGTGAGGGAGGGGGGGTCTCATTTTTTGCCCTTTAAGTAGCCTTCCAGGGGGCATTTTGAAAGTGCCATAAGACCTCACTGGTACATTGTGCTGCCAAATGAATTTGACCATGAACTCTACTATAATAGAGCTTTCAGTTTTAATCATGGAACTTTGTCCTCAAAGTATTGAACAGAGAGGAGTCTGGGGCTAGAGTTTGGCCAAAATTGATGTTAAAATTACAACATAAATAGCTATTTTTCAAAGTTTCAGTATAATCACCTGCCCTCTTGCATAACTTCTATACCTACACCACTGTTTACTTTAGTCACCCAATTATCAAATACAGTGGAGAAAAATTTGGCTAATTGTGGTTTATTGAATTTTTGGCACAAACACTTCATACCTCTCTAAGGCGATGCAAAATGGAATTTTGAGCATATTTCAGGCGATAAACAAAAAAAATGTTGACAAGAAGCCCTTATTCTGTATTTGGTAAGTAAAAATGGATTGTCAAAGCCAAATCAGTTTCGTTGTTTAGAAATACACCGAACCTTACCTTAAAATTGATCTAAAACGGGTCTCTGATTAGCACAACAAACGCATGATTTAGCAAAACAAGGGTGATTTTTTTCTTTTGGAAACCTAGTAGTCATCATAGAACACAAATGATGATATTCTCACCTAGACATAACGATCTTTTCACAAGATGTTTAAATTTTTCTTTGATTAATATTCAGTTTCATGTCATATTTCTAAGCATTACTCCAAGCATGGAAAGTCTCCATACTTTGTCAGGCCCATTTTCTTATATTTTTACCAGATAAAGTTACCTTAACAAAACGTTCGTTAACATATAATCTTCGTCTGACGTTGTAATAGCCTGAATATAGTTGTTGTAAATGCCCATCAGCAAAGGAGCATGATGACCATACAATACACAGATTACACAAACAAATATAAACTTCACTGAGCAGTAGAAACTGAATATTAATCAAAGAAAAATTTAAGCATCTTGTAAAAAGATCGTTATATCTAGGTGAGAACATGGTGATGTTACTAGGTTTTCAAAGAAAAAAATCTCACCCTTGTTTTACTAAATCATGTGTTTTTTGTGCTAGTCAGAGAACCGTTTTAGATCATTTTTTTTTGGTGTATTTCTAATCAACGGAACTTCAGATTTGGTTTTGACAATTCATTTTCACTTACCAAATACAGAATAACAGTTTCTTGTTAACAATATGGTTTGTTTATGACAAAGTTTCATGCATAAACTGAAAGTTCTATTATAGTAGAGTTCATGGTCAAATTCATTTGGCAGCACAATGTATACGTACCAGTAGGGTCTTATGGCACTTTCAAAATGCCCGCTGGAAGGCTGGATTTAATTTTTTGGTTCTCAAAGGGCAAAAAATGAGACTCCCCTGTAACTCCAGAACTAAAACTCAGAGAAGTGAACCAAACTGGCTTCTAAAATATCTAATCACACCCAACTTCCGTGCCAAGCTTCAGCCAAATCGGTTGACCACTTTGGCCCCTGGAACACTTTCTCAGACAATGACGCTTTTAAGCTCAGAGATGAATGAATGAATGATTGGGGGCCCAACCTGAGTAGTGCATGCCCACCAAATTAAACCGCTAGTAACTCACGCTTTCGGTGCTTATCTACTGAACATACATACATACATACATACATACATACATACATACATACATACATACATACATACATACATACATACATACATATATAGCCCTTTATTATTGTGTCTGGTCGTTCTAGCGCCATCGGCACTAACTGGAACATAATAATTTTACAAATACTGATCGAAGATATTTTATTGAGAACAGTGCTAACTATTAAAATCCTATTGACAATTAATTCACTTTAAAAAAAAACTATTTCGTCAAAACACTATCTTCTTCACGTTAAAAAAACCCCTTAGTTTTGATTAGAAAAAATTCATTTCATTAAACAAAATTTATTCAAATTAAGAACATTTCATTTCAATTAAAACAACTCATTTCGATTAAAGAACAGAAGAAACTATTTTCAAGGTCAATTGAATTCTTACTAAGATAATCACTAAAAAGGGGGAAAATTAAATAGCGTCCACAATGTGTTAATGACGAATATTTGCCATTTAAAAGAAAGGAAACTCATCACTAGTTCGATTGAATGGCTCCTTCAACAACTTCGACGTCAATATTTACATTCTTAATGTCACATGGCACTCTTGTTGTCCTAGAGCCTGGTATTATTTTACAAATAATTATAATAATAATTTAATTTAATAATAATTGTAGTTTTTCATAATAATAAAAATAATAGAAAAGTCCTTACAAGGCCTGGAATATAGACTGCTTTTTCTTCTAGACGAGAAATTAAAGGAAACACTCGCATCCAAGAATATATCCTACGCAACAGTTACAGTCTCCGCGTGGACAAGAAAAACCATGAGGCGTTTGAGCAAGTATTTATTTGCCTTCTTCGCTTGTGTCATCCTGTTCCTGTATTCTATGTACATCGTCAAGCCCAGCTCTTTAAAATCTACTTTGCTGCAGTATGGAAAACTCGACGAAGTACAAGGTGCGCTAGAAAACGATGACGATGTGTTCAGTCCATGGAACTTTGAAGACAAGTTGATGTCAAACGCCATTAAAGCTGGTAATACTGGCAGAATGAAGAAGGTTCTAAAAAAGGCTTTGGGGGGCGAAAATATCAAACTTGTCGTGCTGGGAGGGTCAAATAGTGCAGGAGGTTATTTCGGAGGGGATGAGAAGAGCTTAGATGGATTATACTTCAGAGTTTTTATCGATTGGTGGAATTTATCGATTGGTGGTATAACAAAGGCTCTTATGAAAGAAGTTCAACTGGCTATTGGGGCAAGTGGAAGTTACTTTTATTCTTATTGCTACCAAACGTTCCTTGCAGCGCGCGAAAAGATTGATATTGTCCTGATAGAAGTCTCTGTCAATGACGACAACAAGATTATGCCACTGGAGCAATTAACTCGACAAGTCCTGACGCATCCGTCGATGCCAGCGGTACTGTTTATTAACCTCGTACGTTATAAGGGTAGCCGCAATGACAGTCTATGTGAAAATCTCGAACGTTTTGGTCAAACTAAGCTCGCACGCTATTACAATATTACTTCACTGAGTTTAAGAGAACTGCTTTGCCATAAAGAAAAGGGAGAATGGAGAGCTGTGATTAAGAACACGACTGGTACCGATGGCAAACATATGAACATTAAGGCGCACGCGCTTGTGGCAACGATGATGATTAAGTATGTAAGAAGTGTTTTCAAGGAAGTAATAAGCGATATTAACAAAGGCATTGGTCAAGTTCTGGAAACCAAAGACACCAAGTTACCGAAAATTCTGTTTATCAAAAGCGAATCAGAAGTTTTGAGACAACCACTGTGTTGGACAGGAAAAACGCCAGATGCGTCTAAACCGATTCACCACCCAAGTCTAAAATTTAAAATTGTAGATAACGTAGGCTTTTCAATGTGTTTAAAACTAAAAAGCAAGAACAAGCCGCTTCGTCCAGATGCCTTTGGCGGCTGGTGTGGGGAGAAAAGGTTTAGTTACCTTAAACTAAGTGTCTTCGTTCCAGATCTGAAAGTTAAAGATCTTCCGACCCGTTCGCGGTCCGTGACAGTTATGGTCATGAACAAACGATGTAATGCTACCATTTGGCTTGATAACGATAATAAGACAGCTGTTTATTTTTCTGAAACCTACGGATTTGATCAGTTTGATACCGTTTCGACAAGAGTAAAGCCAGGATATCATAATCTCACGGTTAGGAATATGTGTGAGGGGATGTTTATGGTCAGCGGAATTTTCGTTGGACCTCCTGATTTCCACTTGAGATTCCCATAGATATTTATGGGGTATGAAGGAGATAGTACGTGCCCAGTACGCGCCGGACAACAGACGTTATATTACTTATTATATACATACTGAGAAATAGTCACCAAAAAGCTATGTCGTAGATTTTCGTACGCAAATTAGTTCTAGTCAATCAGAGGAGCGAACGATGGTTTTCACACGTGAAAAAAATGATACGTCCAATCAGAAGCCACAGAGGTGTGTGAGTTTCGCGCCAAAATTCCCGCCTTTTATTGCAGCTTGCAGCGCCGCTTCGCACACGGAAATGGAGTGGAATAGTTTCGTTTGTTTCACTGTCGATAAAGAAAACGGTAGAGAGCCGGCGAAACAACAGCGGAAAGGGAAAAACAGAACGAGACGTGAACTTTTGTTGTGCTTTTTGTCGGAGCTACTTTGCTTTTCATTTAAGCTTAAGCTTATATTAAAACCGGCCGTTTTACTTAAATTCACTCATTTTCAATTACGCAGTGAGAAAAAACAGTAGAGTTTTTGGATTACCTCATATCCTCACCATCATTTAGGTTTTTAACAAACGTTTTTACTAAAAAGCTGATACTTCGTTTTCGTTGTCCTTTTGCGGTAAGTGTGTAGCGGCAAATTTAAGCATTTTTGAAAGATTTAAAATAAAAAGGCTGCCAAAATGATGAATGTCTCAGTATGTATATAATAAACACAATACCACATGGAAAGTGCTTGCGTACGGTATTTACGCACTCGTTGTTTTTGTATCAGAAATCTTACTCGTTCGCTGCGCTCACTCGTTCGATTTCTGATACGTCAACAACTCGTGTGTAAATACCGTACGCAAGCACTTTCCATGAAGTATTTTCTATATATATGGTAGTGTCTACTTGAAACTAGGGGTACCTTTCGGCATGTGCCAATAAACCTCTTTAGCTTGTATGTTTTGTTTCCCCAATAGAGGTCCCAGGGGAACTTGATCCTTTGCCTTTTCATAAATCATGCATAGATAGTCACGTGAAGGGGACGAAGTAGACCTGTATTGGGAACTTCAAATTGACTTGTACCCACTCTTCTCGCGGTTCCGCCGCCAAAACACCATTCCCACGCTGATCCCGCCAGCTACGCAAGCTAGCTGAAGAGGTTTATTGGTTCTTCCCGAATTGTTACATAATTTCAGAGGTTTAAATGATTTCGCTATAGAAAAGGATGGCAAATAAATTTCACGCAAGTTTGAAACAACAGTCTCGGCACATTCTAAGTTTTCCCTTTTATCAAACAATAACAACCTGACCTAAAGTTTTGTTGGAAAATTGGGGCAAGTTAGCTCTTATGTTTCATGAAAAATTCCATTGTATCAAAACTATAAAAGTTAGAAAGGAAAATGTATTTCGAGTGAGGCCCTTAACTGCTTTGTTCTAAAATAAAAATTAGATTCCGAGCTTCCGCTGATCAACGGCATCGTTAGGTACATGTAAAACATTCAGCGTATTAAGTGTTGTTATACATATATGAAAGAACTCTGTAAATCTAAAATGTGTGAAAAAAACGCTAGTATGTATGAGAGGTATAAAATATAAACTTCAATAAATACAACGGTCTAATGAGCGAGTGCAACAGGACAAAGAGTCTCTCGTAAGGCATAATGATAGGTCTGAAAGTTCGTTGCTCTCCTCGAGGGAGTTTAGGGCTGTCTCAATGTAAATCGAGCTGCCTCGAACAAGCTGGTTCTGACTGATACCCTATAGGTAACATGTGGCACTTTGTTTGACCCAATACACTTCCTTGTGGTACGCCAGATTTGAGCGGAGACCAGCTGGAGTACGAACCATCACGACTACACGCTGCCGGCGATCAGTAATTAAGAAAGTCTTTAATCCAAAGCCTTAAGTTACCCCGGATACCACAATAATCAACTTTGCTGATTAACCGCTGGTGTGGCACGGCTAATCGAACGTCTTTGCAAAGTTTAGGAAGACGACGTCAACTTGGCCTCTTTTAGTACATTTAACCACTCGTGAACTATAAAGAAATCAGCTGTGTCTCACAGGAGACACCTCTTCGGAACCCATGTTAAAACATGGATATGGCTGAGTTTGAACTGAGAAAAGGAACAGACTTGATCCTGATTACATTTGATCAGCTCGAGGAGTTCACAGAAACTGACGTTAAAGAAATATCGGTCTGTAATTCTCAAGGTTATATCTTAAACCATTTTTGTAGATGCACGACTGAGACGTTCGCGTCCTTCCAAGCCGATGGCAGCTTGCCAGAATCGAGCGACTGTTGGAAAATTTCGGTCAGAATGTGAGCTAACTCAGATGCAGCCTCATTAAGAACTCTTGCAGAGATGAGATCAGGTCCACATGCTTTGGTTACAGCGATATTCTCTTGCTGTTTCTTGACACCTTGCAGAGAAATGTGAATATTAGGCATAATATCGCAAGGAGAGATTCCAGGAGAGGGTATGGATGACAAGTCCTCATCTCTGAACGCAGTGTCAAATTGCTCACGAAGAGCCTCCGTCTTAGAAGAATCAAGTGTATGGATTCTATTGTTCTGCGGTAATGGGGGGTGGGGGGACACCAATCGCCTCGGACACAAGAGACTTCAGGTAGGACCAGGCCTTCTAAGTTGGAAATGAAGTTGAGTGTGCAATCTGGTGTAATCTCACCTAGGATCATGATATCATTCACGTAAGTATCATGTGAGTACTTAATTTGCTTCTGGATCTGGTTGCACAATTGTTTTTTTTATAGGCTGACCAGTGATGCTGTTTCCTTGTGTGCTTTGCCCTCTTGGAGTAGCGATCTCTCTTCTTATTCTTAGGTTTAATAGCATCGCTAATCCATGGCAGATGGCGCTTGCCTTTAGTAATTCTGGGGAATATGCTTGTCACTTAAGGATTGCAGCACACCAGAGACAACGGACCAGCTTTTTTCCCAAAACTGTTGTTTCTTAAAGTTGATGACATGAATGTTGATGCAAATTACGATATGTCGGATCGTAGGTTGTCGTAATTACCCTAACTTGTGAAATCTGTAAACTCTCACATTTCGTGTTGTTCAATTCTAATGCGAGTGTAGCTGAGGTTGGGATTTTTGAGTAATGGAAGGACTGCAGGTGTCTGGAGGTCTGATTCTTGATATTGGTGTGTCCCAATGCGCCTGTAGTATAAAAGACACCATAGTGGTTGGGGCAGGAGCGGTTTCCTCCCGTAAATTAGGGAACTTGAGACCCGACAACGGCGGCGTCAATGAAAACATAGTTGAAAAATAGACTTCGCATCCTTTAACTTTTTCGCGATTATGCCAAGTCGCCCAAATACTGAAAAGAAGGGAATTTATGTTGGAGCTGACGGAAGAGAGGGGAACGCCCCCGAATTCGGACAAAGATGCTAGAATTTATAGCCTTGACGTTCCCGTTCTCAAGTGAACGTAAAATTTGGCCATTTTACGTCGTAGTTGTGCAGGGATCAGTCCAGGATCGTTATCAAACTTGATAACCATGTGACGTAACAACATGGTGGCCATTTGAAAAGTCGGGAATTTTCAGTTTTCCGCTACAACGGCTTTCACCACCTGTACAATAAAACATTTAAACAGTTATTTGTATATGCTAATCGATGGAAGGCAAACTCATTGTCTGCATGTTCCGTTTTTGTTTCATTGACAGATCTATGGACAACAACCATCATCTACATCATCTCCTCGTGACAAGAGGAAAAAAGCAGAATGAATTCGAAAAAGCAAACTTCTGTAGACGATGTTAAAAATAAAACCTCTATCCTTAACAGAACAACCATTGTCTTCCATCACTGTGTCTCTTTAATTTGAACATTTCAGTAGAAACAAATTACGTATGAGTTTGATGATTTGTTTGAAATACACGAAGCTTTCCGCAGAGGTCTTATTTGGAAAAATGCGTCTCAAATACAATTTCACCAGTTTTACAATCTACTGCGAGATGTCTGTTATAAAAAATTGCCATGTACATGAGTTGCTGTCTCGGCAGTACTCCTTTCTATTTCTGAAAACATCTCGACATCGTCCGCCATATTGAATTCAAGAACGCTTTCCCCCAAATTAGGTCACGTGAACGAAAATTTGAACGATTAGCTCGTGGTTTGTTTTGGTCGAGGTTATCACATTTGATAACGATCCCGGACTGGGAATGGCAAAGAAATAAACAAAAAAGCATGATGCACGTGCAAAGTTGTTGTTTTGCTCATTAAACCTATTGCTTTTTCGACGTTCCCGTTGCCGTCGCCGTCGTAGTTTCGTAGGGTCCCTGTTAATTAGTTCCCCGTGAAGGAACAGTAAGTATATTATACTGTTTCATGACGTCCAAAGAACGAGAACAGAAATTCGAAAACTGATGATTTGACACTTTGCCCAAACCCAGTGCTTCTGATTTTTTGAAGCCATCCAATCAGTTCCACTGTTTGTGGTAAACAAATTCGGGGCTCGTTAAACACTCTTGTACGCAGACGTTTAAGGTTTGTACAATATATTTCATTGAATGATCCGGTTCTGTTTTCGCAATAATTTCGGGGGTGTCTTCTCCCCAATTCTGTAGTCTAGCTCCCCAATAATGATTTAGACGAA